CCCAGTGCGCCTTATTTTCCTCGATATCATTACTTTCCGCTCCGGTGACAGCAGGCACGCCGAGGCAAGATTGACGCATGCTTATGATGTCCAAGTCTGCTGTTGGCATATCGATTGACTGAGAGACTGAAGACCGTTACTTGCGCACCACTATAAAATATTTCGGTACTGACACTGAGAAGTAAGGCGAGGATAATCTAGCGATTCGGACAGGCAATACCTGCATGAAGTGCCGCATGTTCCTTGAACATGCTGCATCCATCCGAGCGCATCATGTTGGTTGATGTTGGTCATCCTGATACACGACTTTCGCAAGTAGATGTGAGTTCTAGAGAACTAAATATTCTTGGGTAACGAATGTGGCTTCACTGGAGGATAACCACACTTTATAATGTCCAAAGATTACGACCACGTCACCTGGCCAATAGACCACAGCATGAGCTCTTTGAAGTTGCTTTGCCCTTCATTAGATGCAGCGTGGTAAGTCGCGAATGATCAACTGAACATATGGCACTGATAGACCCTAATTAGGATTAGCTTTGTGCCATCATTGTAATAGACCTGCATGGCTTATTCTCGCTAGCTCTTCTCGGCCTTAGCGCTGCCGGCGCGAGCTTCGCTGTCCGTACTCCATGCCTCCCTACATTGGCATGCGTCTGCATACGGCGCCCGCCCATGCGCTTGCGTCCAGCTCCAATCATTGAATCCCTCCAATCACGTTGAGCGCGCCTTACAGCCTGAGATAGCCCCACAATGCGTAGTGAAACTGATTCCTATGCGGCTCTGCGCGATCCAGTCATTTGGAGGATACACATAAGTACTCTTGATTACTAAGACCACCCGATGTCGGTCACTTCTCCTCTAGGGTTCTAATCCATATGGGACCAAGCAACAGTCGAGATCGTCTTCAGCCACAAAGGATCGGAACCTCGCATGCACCAAAAGGGACATTGACATCTTGTCCGCTTGGAAGCATCGTTGTTCGGCGCACTGAGTTCCGGTACAACGCTTCCATCGACGCATTTGCCTACAACATCGACGGTCATTGGTTTTGCTTGCCAGATCACTCGGGATAAGACACGCTTTCCAGATGCAATTTTGTGAGATGAGCAAGAAGCTGTCACACACAGATGTATGCTTGGGCGGCTGCATCGCTGGAGCGGATCTTGGAGTACATCCGCCACCCTCGGGCTTGACGGTTGGCTTCCTTGTCAGCACGGCTGGGATGGCGGTCAGCCAATATCGCAGGCTGCGCGACTGATGGCCACGGTTTGTATAGGAAGTGACATACGCGTGCGGTTGCTACGGAAGGTGCTCATTGTTTCCAGTGTCGGACCCAATAATGCGCATCGCTCCACCAAGTCCACACATCATCACAAGACTCAATTGCACGCATTCCTGCTACATCATCCGCGAAAAATCACTAGCCTAGCCGATCCACGAAGAGAAGAAGTGAGGTGATTTGGGGTATCATTCGTTACATTCATCGTGTTTCCACATTATGGTGTCTCATCAACCCTTTATCATGGTCCCAGACTTTGTAGGAATAGTCAGCTTACTGATTGTCCAACACCACAAATCATCATTGCATCTCCATCTCAACCTCTTTCTTCGCCGCCACCGCCTGACTAGGCTTTTGTCGACTTCTACTCCTGTTCTCTGCTTTCTTTTCCACAATGTCCGCTCCCAGTCCCAAATCGACAGCCTGGTGCGACGCGGACTCAGTGGGCTGTTCGGTTTTCACTCCGGAGCTCGCCTTCTCGTTGTCTTGTCTAGGCTCTTCCGGCTTCTCGTCGATCGTGTCCTGAGTGACATCTTGTGCTGGTCGTTCCGTGTCCATATCGGCGCTCAGGTCCGAGCTTGGCTTCACAACGTCTCGTGCGACGTCTTCGCTTGGTCTACCGCTTGCTGCAGCTGGGCTCGCTGCTCTGTTCCCGTTGCCAGTGAACCCCAACTTCTCGAAGCTTGCCATAACTCCTTGCCTTAGATCTTGTCCCAGAGCTGCTGCGGCATCGAGGGGTTTTGGTGTGTTCGATGCCATCGGAGAACGGTCACCGACGGCGTGTGTGGGTGGAGGATGAACGGTCGTACCGGCTCCAGTCGCTTCCTCCGCGGTTTCTGTACCCATTACAATCGGTTCTTGAACTATCGGCGTACTTGTGCCACTCCTGCCGGTACTGGCATTGCTAGTCTGTGGTGTGAGGGTCGGCGGCAATTGAGAACCAAAGCTATTCATTTCCTCATCAGTACGACCGAAACACTCAGCCCACCATCTTGCTTCTCCTTTCCGAGGGAAGATCATGCGCTCCTTGCCGCGAACAGCATCATCGATCTCAGGTTCGTACTTTGGATTCATGAACTCTTGCTTCCGGCACAGGAAGTAGTCCCACACACTCCTTGTTCGCTCCTTAGCCCTGGTATCTATGCGTTCCTTCTCATTGTCAAAGAGGAACGTTCCGTACTGACAAGAATAAAGATGGTAAAGCAAGCGCCTCAAGAAGCGCTCGCTGAATTCGAATCGGGTGGGGTGTTGGTAATGCAATTGGTATACGCAGTCGAGGAATTGATGAAAGACTGGTGACAGCTCGTTCACCTTGGTGATGCGATGCTCTTCTGCAGCTCCGATCTGGGCCGGCTTAGCTGAAGTAGGTTCTGCAACATCTGTGCCGTTTTCCGGTACATTCGTCTCTGGCAGCTGGTTAAGAGACTCGTTCGACTCGTTGTGTCGATTGAACAGACCCCGCGCGCCACGGAGAGCATTCTCAAAGGGGTTGCTACCTCCCGTGCCATCGCTCTTGCGCTCAATCTTCTCGTTTTCTATAGTGAACCACTTTTCGTGACTTAAGAAACCCGATCGGTGTCGGAACATGTGTCCAAACGACAACCAGTCTTTCTCAACAAGGACAATAAAGCCTTCTAATGTCCGGTAGTATGGATCTAGCAGGATCTGGCTGAGTGCACTGAGCTGGCTCGTACGATCCCAGCCATCAGAACAGTGGATAAGGACGTGGGAGTGCATGATCCCGACCGTTCGGGCTATCAGCGCAGTCCCGTCCAGTATGTTGGCAATATGCTTGATCCAGTTGCTCTTTGCCAGAAGCTGTCGATTGGGAGGGAAAGGCACTAGATCGGACTCTTTTAGCGCTTCGATGACTGTATCAAGCGACTTTCGCATGACGTGGATGTTGTCGATTCCGAGGTAGGCTTTTTCCGCACCAGGATAATAATCCATCTTCTCCGAGCCAAGTCCAACAGCTTGCATCGCATAGGCATTGACTGTAGGTCTGGCATCGACAATGAGGTTACGCTGCTGGGCTCCGTATACTTTTGGTGCGTCCGGGTCTGTCTCCGAAGACGCCGTCAGATCGTCTGCGGTGGTCCTGCCGGTGTTCGCATTCTCGTCCACTGTCCCGACAAAAGAGCTATTAGCACTAGAATCATTCAGGTTCACAACGCTGGTGTCGGGAGTGAGTTCTGTAGAGTTTGAAGAAGAGGCATTCGCAGGTTTCCACCCACGGTTAGTAGCCCAGATGGCTGCGACAAGCCGCTCGTCTTGAGGGTTCCGATTCCCGCGCAGGCCCGGTGTGGGCTGTGAGCTTCTGGTTATAGAGCAGTTGTTGATGGGATGTCGGTAGACGAGGGCTGGTATGCGTTGTCGCGAGCGGTATTCACCGGCGTATCTGAGAACGCTGTCTGAGACGTTGGTGGGAACGACGAGGAGGGCGGGATATGTCGGCGCGTACTGTTCCACTCGTCAAGACCTGTGTTTGACCTTACATGTCACATCTAATGTACCTTATATTCCACGTTGACTTCAGAGATCCGCCAGCCCTTCTCCGTATCCTTGGGGCTGATGCCCAGTCGCTTCCACTCGCGGCGGGCGTCGTAAATCTCCCAACCATTTTGCTGATCTTCCGGCGGTTTTGGCTGGTAGCTAAAGGCTAGTAGCTTGTCCAGTCTACCAATCTTGCACGAGAGTGCCCGTATGCTATCGTACACGTCACGCGCCTTCTTCTCGTTGGGGAAGAAAAAGGCAAAGAAGGTAAAGTCGCGACATCGTATGCGGATCGAGGGCTCCTGGCGCAGGATGGGTGGGCACGGTTTGAGGGAACAATAGTTGATCATAGGATACGTTATCCATACTTCTTTCTGTCGCGGTGGTTTCGCGTCGGCAGGAGCGTCGGCAGGCGGGCTGGGGAGGTAGCTGAAGACGAGATGGTGGGGCATAAGATGCAGCGTGCCGTCGAAGCGCGTGCCTCTACGGAGGAGGTAGACGCCTTCCACCTAGGAGTAGTATCAGCGAGGCTTCGAGGAACCTGTAGAGCTCGCATCGACTCGTACCTTGCTCACGCGTATCCGCTCCATAACGACTGTAGGGTGGGTGAGAGTGAGTGCGGGCGGCCCAGAGCGGGGTCGCAAGTCGCTAAGAAAATGGAGAAGCACGCAAGGCAAGCATCTAGAGAGAAGGATACAGGCAAATGAGAGGGTCGAGTAGTCGAGCGCGCATCGTCAACATGAGCTTGTCTGCATGTGCCCGCCCTGTCACGCTCATGCCTGGTCCCGCCGCTTGTCCTAGCACCGCCTTGGCGAACAACGTCATCTACATCGCCAGTCACTTCTACGTTCCCTTGGAAATTAAAAACTGCTACAGGGAAATCACTGGCTACTTTTCACACATGAAGCCGAAGAGGGGATGCATTCAACAAGATGCTAAGTAAGACCTCGCTTTTTCATGTACAGAGTATATCTAGCACCTAGGTATCCAAGCACAAAGTGCGAGAAGCTACATACTTACTAGACCTCGTCCGTGAGCTTACCTGTGCCATATACCAGCGGCTCTCTGCTCGAGTTAGATGTACAGAACTCCCAAAGACCACCATCTGCGCTTTCAAGACAAGAATATTGCTACAGCTGTTAATGGCTAGATACCAGTTGGCATAGACACGAAAACTGGCTATGCACAATCCGGAATCTGCGCGATCGCTGCATCATGTGTCCATCTAAGCCGGAGGTGGTGGCGGTGGTGGGGGAGCGTCGCTAGGTGGGGGAGGAGGAGGCGCCTCGCCCGGAGGAGGAGGTGGAGGCACAGATCCAGACGGCGGCGGGGGAGGCGGAGGAGGGCTGCCAGCACCACCATAGCTCTGGAAGAGAGGACCCAGTCCAGGAGGAGGACCAGAGGGAGGAGGAGGAGCGCCATAGCCAGGGGCACCGTATGCACCAGGAGCGCCCATGCCAGCGTTCTGGTCGTAACCATAACCACCGTATCCGTAACCAGCACCCGCAGGCGCAGTGGGAGTAGCAGAAGCCCAAGGAGCCGCACCGTTGCCAGCACCGTAGCCTTGGTCGTAAGACTGACCACCACGGCCGCCACCACCAGCCCAGGGGGGAGGAGCAGCAGAGTTGCTGTCGCCGCGACCACGGTCATCACCATCGTTGCGCGCCCAGGGTGCAGAGCCACCAGTAGGACCACGCTCCCAGGGCTTGACGGCACGCTCGCCTCCACCGTAGCTGTCTCCACCAGCAGCACCGTTGCCGTTGTACTCGATCGCCGCACGAGGCTGTCCAGGAGCACCTCCCATCTCGGCCATGAAAGCGTCGAGCTCGTTCTCCGGAGCAGCGATACGAGCTGGCTGACCGCGGTCGGGGAAACGGTTGTCGTTGCGCCAGGGCTGTCCAACTTTGCGGTCGGGACAATCGCGAGCCATGTGACCAGCTTGACCACAGACGCGGCAGATGATGCTGGCCGTGAAGTTCTGTTTCTGCGGGCAGTCGTACTTGCGATGACCAATCTCACCGCAGTTCTGGCAGGCTTGGTTCTCGTCGTCGCGGAGGGTACCGTTGAGGGCGGCAAGTTCACGAAGTTGGTTGCGCTTGAGTTCGTTCTGGCCTTCGGGGATGGAAGCAGCCTATAAGTGTTAGTACGTGTACATGAATTGGGAACAGAGTGGTGACCTACAGTCTCGATGACGTTGTGGATAAGCTTCTTCGCCTTGTTGACCTTCTCCTCGGTGTCGGCCATGATCAAGCAGTGAAGATCCTCCTCCTGGTTGCTGGTATGAGCTGCGTCAGAACGGCCTTTACCCTCCTTAACGGAGCCTTTGCCACGGATCGCAATCTTTGCCTGGGATTCGGTCTCCATCTTCTTGAGGGTGTTTCCACGGGGGCCAATGAGTAGACCAACTGTTAGTGCAAAAAGCTGTGGTTAGTGTATGATCAAAAATGTGTGAGCAAAAGGGTTAGGGTTAGTGACATAGCTGTACTGCAGTTGCCACTAGATGCACGTAAGCATCCAGCAGTCTGAGCAGGCTGGTCAAGACAAAGGCTGGGGTAAAACAAAACAGGGGGAGGGGAGTTAGAGGGGTTAGTTCCGTACTGAAGTTAATCTCCGGGTAGTCATTGACCGGAACGTAGACTTTCTCCTGTGTCTTAGTAGGCCGCCTGTAATCGGCAGGTGGGTGGTAGTTAGGAAGCGTCTTCATCGCCTTCTCAACGAGCTTGTGGCGCTCGTCTTCGAGGCGCTTGCGGTAGCGGAACTCGCGAGTGTTGACACGGCGACCGAAGTTGTCGTACTGGGGAGGCGGCGATGGGGACCTGTTCTGTTAGCATCTCCAACGTTTGAGGAGGGAAGCCACGTACCTGTCACCATCGGCTGGGACCACGTCGTTGATCTTGAGCTTCTGGGTAATCTCCTCAATGCGCAGATGCAGCGTATACGCGTCAAGCTGCTCAGTAGTCATGGCGGCATAGATGGCAGTCGGTAAGCCCATCAAGCCAGCAGCCTTGTTCTCGCTCGCGTCACCCCATCGGTTGCGCTTCTTGCGCTGTCGCGGACCGTCGGCAGAGTCTGCAGCTTGGCTGTTAGCAGATGAGTAGGAGTGCGTGGGAAGACTCGACTTACTGCGCTCAGGACTGCGGCCGCGCTTCAACTCAGACAAGCCTTCGGCGGGCGCTGATGGGTTGTAGCCGCCATCATCGTCGCCTCCACCGAAACGACGGCGAGTACCTAGAGGTATGTTATTAGAACCGGTGATGCCCTGGTTGCGCCACGACATGTTTGCTGTTGACGAGAGGTTGTGGTTGCGATGGAGGTGTAGTTGGTGAGAAAGTGGAGGCTGTCGCGACGAGGCAAAGGTTCAGGCTAGTAGGGAGCACGCTTGGCCGCTTTAGGCTGCAGTCTGCTGCCCTGCAGATCACGTGCAAGCCGCTGCGCAAATCTCACGATTACATTCACATATTCGCGTAGTTCGTCGCCTGATATCACTATGTAAGCTCTTTATGATGCGCCTGTCCCTAGGTCATCGTATCAGCATATCCGAGGCCCCGCGTTGAGTACGATCTTGGCCCATTCTGGAGCCTGCGGGTATCTCAACATCAACCTGATGCGCGTGCAGTACAACCAGACTGTACAGCGCTTCGTCAGTAATACTAGGGAAGCTACCGCCGTAAGCGTTTATCGGCAACTTTCCATTTTGCCGTGTCGAAGACTCACTTGCCGAAACCTTTGGGGCTGCTTCTGTTCTCCGCTTTGCTTAACAAACGTTCCTTCTGTACCTAATGTTTTCAGCTGCTACCACATTTGAATCTATGGTTTATTCGACGAAATGCTGGCCTCTACATAGTCCTCACCAGCTTCTGTACCTCTACAAGGGACACATTTGATGGCCGAGTTACGAGTGCTGGGGCTGTCGTTGCTCTTGGATGATGCAGGCTTTGGCAGTCGCTTCTGAGCAATGAGCTTGCTGAACTAGCTGTTCCTTGACACCAAGGCTCTTGACCACAGTAGCTAAAGCATAAGATTCGGATTCTTGAATCGCTTACGAATCGCCGCAGTTTTCGCCGTCGGCACTATTAACAAAGCATGAAGGCTGGTTTCGCCCGAAGCTGCCCCTCATTACACCCCACTTTCATCATCGCAGCTGTCTGATCACAAAGCTCCACTACGTCAGTTCTCAAGCTATATAGCTACGAACTACAGCGATTCTTTGCTTGTTTCTGTGTCGACTTACAGCTACCGATCCATCGCAAAAATGTCTCAGCAATCGGACATCAACCTGTACACCACCCAGACGCCTAATGGCATCAAGGTCTCCATCACTTTGGAGGAACTAGGGTACGTATCTTTCTGACCATGTAAGACGTCTCCTACAATCTCGGGGATATTCCTTGGGGAAACCTAGCAGTACATGTTTCTATTTCCATCTCTTCCGCTGTCAAGGCTCTTGTCATTGCACGAGTGCGAGAGAAAGGGACAGCAACCTCGGTGTTTCCGAGAAGCTCGAAGCAAACGAAAAACAAGCTAAGCGATGTATTCGACCTACATGAAGTACCTTGGGGTATAGTCAGCAGCATCTGCGCATCGGAAAGTGTCTATTGCGATAGTTCACTTTCGTGCCAGACCTTCGGATGCCTCTGGATATTGCCCTTGGATAGCCATTGCCGAATAACGTACATTTGCGAAGCGCTACATCGTTTTACTCATAATCCACAATGGTTATAGAAAAAAGGATATTATGCACTCAAGGTTAGCTCAACTTGCTGATATCCCCAGTCTCCCTTACAAAGTCCACAAGATCGACATCTCCAAGAACACACAAAAGGAAGAATGGGTCAGCCTTATATTCCCTTTTCGCATCAATGCCATGCTAACGGTAGATAGTTCCTGAAGATGAACCCCAATGGGCGAATCCCAACACTGACCGACACCTTCACCGACGGCGAGACTATCAACCTCTTCGAATCCGGAAGCATCATGGAGTACCTTGTCGATCGCTACGACTCAGATCACAAGATCAGCTTTCCCAAGGGAACACGAGACTGGTATGCCATGAAAAATTGGCTTTACTTTCAGAACGCCGGCGTTGGTCCGATGCAGGGTCAAGCTAGTAAGTATGACTTTTCCTATGCTTTTTCTTTCTGGCCTTTGCTTTTTCACGGCAGTCCCGAGATCATGTGGACTTGTCACCCGCTGCAACAACGGTTCGTTACCGCTCTCAAGGTGGTGTCGTCATTCAATACCATACTTGGAGCGGCAATGAGATGTTGTTATGTATAGTAAGATGGGCGCAGCATGGCTTGATCGCCGAGTTCATCGTCTTGGCTTTGGTACTCAGGTTCCATCGACCCAGATGACCGTATCGAATCAGTCTTCTCATAGTAAGCGAGGAAAGCCTCACGAGACAGCATTACCGCTCGAGCGGCTGTACTGTAGATCTTGGTTCCGATGTGGGGGTCGGTTCCGATGTGGAGGTATTTTCAGAAGCCATTGGAGGCACAGTCACCCTGGTGGCGCAGATTACTGCTTCTTTGGCTTCAGACTGCTTCACAATACTGCAATGGAGCCGAGACGTACCATGTCAGCTGGGATATCAGGTTAACGTGGACTGCAGACCATTTCACACGATATGCCCCTGAGCACATTGAGTACGGTGTCAACCGATACCAGAACGAGACACGTCGTCTGTACTCAGTCCTTGACAAGCATCTTGCTTCAGATAACAGGCCGTATCTGTGTGGCGAGAAATGTACAATTGCCGGTAAGCACTCCCCTCAAATGTACTGAGCGGTGAGCTCGACATCTACATCCGTAGATGATGGCACCATCTATGGAAGCATCTATGATCTATCCGAAACTTCGTCAAAACCCACATCTCCTACCCAACATTCACAAGCAGCTGGTTACTCCAGCATACCCATGATGATATGTGCTGATACATGCTAGATATTTCGCACTATGGCTGGGTGGCGTCCGCAGGCTGGGCTGGGGTTGATATCGACGAATTTCCTTCCCTAAAGGCCTGGGAAGAGCGCATGACATCCCGACCCGGTGTTGAAAAGGGTCGTCATGTCCCGGACCCTCACACGATCAAAGAGCTCCTCGCAGACAAGAACAAGATGGAGGAGTACGCTGCCAAGAGCCGCAAATGGATCCAGGGCGGCATGAAGCAGGATGCTGAGAAGCAAAAGTAAGTTATTTTTGCATATTCCAAATGACTACAGACGACGTCTCGTCATAGTGAAGGTCCTTGGGCATGAAGGTGCTTCATGTGAGAGAGGAGCGGACAAGCAACCTTGAAACCCTTGATCTGTAGCCAATCGCATCCAAGGATTCTGGGTGCTTGACCAATCGGATCAAGTCAAATTAGAGTCTACCTAGTAGCGCACCACGAACCCGAATCCGAACTTTGTTACAATTGTCCTAGACGGCGCACACTTTCACGCCAACTAACACCCTCAAGTTCCAGACTATAAACAACATTGCGCCACCATCGCATCACTGCAGGTACCATCTACGAAACGCCAAACAAGTCAGGGTAGACCTGCACCATTCCCACTGCTCGTTCGTGAATATGACCCACTTGGAACTTTTACATCTTGGCATTTTCTCGCGTGAGCTCGGGTGAGTTTCAAGACCATTCATCATTTTACTTAGTCACAGAACGACACCATAACTCTAAGCCTAAAAGGTAAAGTCTATGCGGCCTGCCAAGAATGTCAACAAAGTAGGGAATATCCAGGTTTGCAATCTTGGTTGCGTAATACTCAGTCATCAGGGGTGTAACTTAAGAAATGATGGATGGAAAGTGGCGGGCTCATCACGGTTGACGGGACATTACACTAGTACAATACTAGTGTCTGTTCGCGAGATCAGGCCCGTTGATCCCGTATCACACCGCGAACGCTCCGATTGCTGTCAAGTTGCACATTTGTTTGTCTGAAACGTTCGAGAAGGGTGTCCCAAGACTGTGTTGGAGCCCGGGAAACTGCCCGTACGGTGTCGGAGCTGAGGAACGCTTGCTTGCTCGCGATCGCAGAGCTGGGTAGCCTAGTGTCAAGCCGGCTGTCCCCAGAGTACGCTACCACCAAGTGCCGATGCAGCTGCACTCAGATACTTGAAAAACAAAAGGACCTAATGGCAGCTTGTGTGCTAACGCTCACCGTCAGTCTGGGCCCAACAGACAGATCTAGTGTCTGTTAATTGCCAGAGGGACCAAGCGTTTGTGACAGTGTCTGCCACGCGCATGGGCTGGTGCCTACCGCTCAGGTGGCTGGCAAGATCCGGACGGCATCGCCTGTTGCCGTGACGGTGGCCATGCGGTGACACCCGCTCGAAACTTGGAAACTCAGCCATGGACTCAGCCATCAAGCGAGGGATCAGAAATTGCCTCAGAAAGAACGCGCGCCTAGGCATGGTTGAATCTTACTCGTCTCAAAGACATCAGAGCTTCCTGTGTGCCGGGAGCATCAGCTCACCCGGCCTATCCGCGAATGGAAGGACATAACCACGGGTACGGAACACGTCGCCTCCCGGTATCATTCCACAAGGGCTCGAAGAAGGATCAGTCGTGTTCCCAGAGCAAGTGCGAGGGCTGCTGACTGGTTTGATGAAGGGCGAACACGCAGTGTTTATCACTTCAGGGGAGCATGTATATCGCCCCGGGTTTGTGCAGAGCACCTGCATCTCACCCATAGTGGTGCCTGCACCTGTATCAGCAGGACGGACTATTTTGAGCCACCAACAGGCGTCGCCCCTTTCATCAGTTATTCCTCCATGCAGCATGCGTCAGACTTGCGTCCCGCAACACCATCAGTCCCTTCCCCAGTCCGATACTCTCCCCGCATTATTGCTCGATCAGCTGCAGGCTGCATGATCGCACGCTGCTCTGCGACGGCGGCAACGACGGTTAGGCTCGCTAGAATGAGCCGGTTAAGCCTCAAGGGTCTGAGGAAGCCTGATGCCCCAGCTGTGAGGTTTCGAGCCGTAGCTGTTATACTACGGCTATTTCGCCTCTGCCATAGCCGACGCGGTAGGCGGCGCCCCCGCAGAACTGTCACGGATCGATCTCAACGGTGAACATCGCACCTCCTAGAGTATAGTCGAGCGAAGCGGGTCATAAGATTTACAGGGCAGACAAGCATCGTCTTTGCGAAGCGGGTGGACCGTCCGTTCAGCCGACGCTGTCAGTTCCCCAGGTTTGGTGTAGGCCACGTTCCCGGCTTCACTGGTTGGAAAATCTGGGGTACATGACAGAGGCAGGTCCTGCTGCATGCCATA